ATATATAAGCTCCAGGTAACCACAAAAAACTTATTATAGATATATAGAAAGTAAAGAAAAAGGGATCCAACCGTAACATTACAGAAAGTCATCATGCACAAATGAAGAGAACAAGAGAAGAAAGGAACACAGAATAATAATAAAAGCAACCAGAAAACATTTTTAAAAAATGGCAATAAGTACATAACTATCAATAATTACCTTAAATGTAAATGGACTAAATGCTCCAATCAAAATACATAGGGGTAATGAAAAAAAAAAAAAAAAAAAAAAAAAAGACGCAGGGTGAATAAATAGATTAAAAAACAAGACCGAATTACATGCTGCCCAGAAAAGATTCACCTCAAACCTAAAGACAAACATAGAGTGAAACTAAAGGGATGGAGAAAAAATACTCCATGCAAACAGAAATGAAAAATAAGCTGTAGTAGTACTTATATCAGACAAAAGACTGTGACAAAAGACAAAGAGGAACATTATATAATGATTAAGGGCTTAATCCAGCAATATGATAAAACAGGTGTAAATATCTTTACACCCAAAAGGGTAGGAACTAAATATATAAAGCAAATATCAATAGACACAAAGACAGAAACTGATACAATACCATAAAAGTATGAGACTTTAACACCCTACTTACTTCAATGGATAGATCATCCAGACAGAAAATCAATAAGGAAACAGTGGCTTTGAATACTACATTATATTAAGTGGACTTAATACTTATCTATAGAATATTACATCCCAAAATAGCAGAATATTCATTCTTTTCAAATGCACACAGAATATCTTCCAGGAGAGATATTTTAGCACATAAAAGAAGTCTCAATAAATTTAAGATTGAAATCATACTCAGTATGCTTTCCCAACTACATGGTATAAAACCAAAATCAGTAACAAAAAACCTGGAGAAAACACAAATACATGGGAGCTAAATAGTATGCTACTAATCAACCAGTAGATCAAAGAAGAAATCAAAGAAGAGATTTTATAGAAAAAATACTTGGAGAATAATGAAAATAGAAACACAGCAGTTCAAAATCTTTATGATTCAGAAAGAGCAGTTCTAAGAGAAAGTTTATAGTGATACAGGACTCTCTCAAGAAAGAAGAAAAATGTCAAATAAAAAATCTAACCCTATGCCTAAAGAAACTAGAAAAAGAACAAAGTTAATGGAAGGAAATAAGAAATATCAGAGCAGAAATAAATAAAAGTGACTAAAAAATAGAGAAATAAAACTAAGAGTTGGTTCTTTGAAAAGATAAAATTGATAAACCGCTAGCTAGACTCATCAAGAAAAAAAGAACTCAAATAAAATCAGAAATGAAAGAGAAGTTACAACTGACACCATTAAAATAGAGATGATTATAAGAGATTAGTATGAAAAATTATATGCAAACAAATTGGACAACATAGAAGAATTGTATACATTTCTGGAAATGCCATCTTCCAAGAATGAGCCAGGAAGAAAAAGAAAAGCTGAAATGATTACTAATAAAACAGAATTGGTAATCAAAAAAGTCCATACAAACAAAAATCCAGAACAGGATGCCATTCTATCAAACATTCAAATAGTTAGTGCCTATCTTTCTCAAACTATTCCAAAAAACTGAAGAGGAAGGAAAGCTTCCAAATTAATTCTAATAGGCATCACCTTGATACTGAAACCAGACAAAAACACTACAAAGAAAATTACCAACTGATATCCCTGATGAACATAGATGCAAAAATACTAAAAAAAAATTATTAGCAAACCAAATTTTAAAAAAATACATGAAAAGGATCATTCTCAACCAAGTGGGGTTTATTCCAGGAATGCAAGGACAGTTTGATATCCATAAGTCAATCAACATGATACACCACATTAACAAAAGGAAGGATAAAAACCAAATGATCATCTCAACAGATGCTGAAAAAGCATTTGACAAAATTCAGCATCCATTCATGATAAAATCAAACCTTTACTATCTACCTCAAAACTATTGCTCTCTTGGATTACTGAATGGTCTCCTAAAAGGAGTGGTCTCCTAAATGGTCTGAATTCCCACTCCAGATCTACTTCAGTTCACACTTAACCCACAGTTAGTGACCCTTTCAAAATATAAATCAAATCATATTAATCCTTTGCTCAAATTAATGTATGTTTTCCCATATCCATCACAAGGAAACTCTAAAATCCATGACCTTCAAGGTTTGCCTTCATCTCTACCTCCATCACAACCAAACCTTAAAATCCATGACCTTCAAGGTTTGCCTTCATCTTGACCTCTATCACTAACCAGCTCACTTACTCACAAGTTGGTAAGTCACTATCCAAACACTCCAAGCATGTTCCCACTTCACCATTCCCTCTTCTTAAACTGCTCTTTCCCCAAATATTCACATAGCTTGCTTCCAAACATCCTTCAGGTCACTCCTCAGGTATCACTTTATGAGAGAGGATTTTCCTTATCACCATTTTTAAATACAAACTTCTACCTGCCAACCTCCACCCATAGCATTCCCAATGCTCCTAGTCCTGTTTTATTTTTCTCCATAGTCCAGACCACCATCTGATATATATATATATATGAGGTTTTTTACATTGCCTGTCTCTCTTACTAGACATTAAACTCCATAAGGTCAGCAATTACTACATTCTGTTTCTTAAGTTTGATATCCATAAGTCAATCAACATGATACACCACATTAACAAAAGGAAGGATAAAAACCAAATGATCATCTCAACAGATGCTGAAAAAGCATTTGACAAAATTCAGCATCCATTCATGATAAAATCAAACCTTTACTATCTACCTCAAAACTATTGCTCTCTTGGATTACTGAATGGTCTCCTAAAAGGAGTGGTCTCCTAAATGGTCTGAATTCCCACTCCAGATCTACTTCAGTTCACACTTAACCCACAGTTAGTGACCCTTTCAAAATATAAATCAAATCATATTAATCCTTTGCTCAAATTAATGTATGTTTTCCCATATCCATCACAAGGAAACTCTAAAATCCATGACCTTCAAGGTTTGCCTTCATCTCTACCTCCATCACAACCAAACCTTAAAATCCATGACCTTCAAGGTTTGCCTTCATCTTGACCTCTATCACTAACCAGCTCACTTACTCACAAGTTGGTAAGTCACTATCCAAACACTCCAAGCATGTTCCCACTTCACCATTCCCTCTTCTTAAACTGCTCTTTCCCCAAATATTCACATAGCTTGCTTCCAAACATCCTTCAGGTCACTCCTCAGGTATCACTTTATGAGAGAGGATTTTCCTTATCACCATTTTTAAATACAAACTTCTACCTGCCAACCTCCACCCATAGCATTCCCAATGCTCCTAGTCCTGTTTTATTTTTCTCCATAGTCCAGACCACCATCTGATATATATATATATATGAGGTTTTTTACATTGCCTGTCTCTCTTACTAGACATTAAACTCCATAAGGTCAGCAATTACTACATTCTGTTTCTTATACCTGCCTAAAACCTACAGAATGTCTAGCACATAGAAGGTACTCAACAAACATCACTGAAAAAATTAGTAAATGAATAAGTCACAGAAGACATTCCCACAGTGAGCCTTAGCTGCAAGAGAGAGCAGCTTCATGAGAAGACAAAAGGTCCCAAAAGTCCAGCAGACTCCCAGAACTATTTGGGTGGAGGGCTGTAACACCAGAAAAGCAGGTAAAGGCAAGACCACAGATACACTGTTTTGGTAGTAATGGTCCTGACAGGAAAAAATAATTACAAGAGAGAAATCTAAAAAATAACCTCTCAACCAAGTAATCAAAGTTAACACCACCAGTAAATGGAAAGAAATAAACATTATATGCTTCCTAATATGATACACTTGAGAATACAACATAAATTCTGTGATATCCCTGCCAAAAGCACATAACCTGAGTATGTGCATAAAAAAAGCACATAAACCTATTATTATAAGAAAATGAAGGAAACCCCAAATTAAGGACATTCTATAAAAGAACTGGCCTGTATTCTTCAAAATTGCCAACAACATGAAACACAAAGATGCAGAAAATGTTCTAGATTAAAGGTAACTAAATGGACATGACAAATGAATGCAATACATGATCCTGGATTTTATTTTGTTAGAATTGACACTATTGGGATGACTGGCAAAATATGAATACAGTCAGTAGATTAGGTAATAGTAGTCAATAAATGTTGAGTTCTTGACCTCGACAGTTTTATATATGTAAGAGAATGCCCTTGTTCTTAAGAACTGCACACTGAGGAATTTAGGGATTGAGGAGAACATTATGCCGACAGTTTACTCTCACAGATGTCAGAAAAAATAAAATGTTATATGATAGAAAAATTTTTTTAAATAGAAAATGTTTACCACTTAGGACATATGAGTGAAGAGCATATGAGAATTCTTTGTAGTACTCTTAAAACTTTCCTCTAAGTCAGAAATTATGTCAAAAAAATTTTAAGTGAAAAAGCAAACAAAAAAGGTTCAAAAATGACACTTGGAAAAATACTTGCAGTGCATTACAGTGGCTCCTTCAGATGTTAGAAGATGATCTCTACAAACTCTTTCAATTTTAGAATTAAAATTTTTAATTATGAAAGAAGAAACTGTGTAATATAACTAGACTTAGAATGTAACTCTTAAATAATACATTCTAATGACTAATTATACACTTTTTCTAACATTTACATTTATTTGAAACCTAGAAATAAAGCCATGACAGAAAGTATACACTGACCTTCAAAGAAATACTGTGATTTGCATATAATGACACTTCTATTTTAATTGTTAAAAACACAGATTAACATAATCTGAAATTTAACACCCATCATACTTTGGGGATTCAGAACGCCTTATTTCAAACAGCATAAAGATTGAAAATGTCTTACTGAAACACCATAAAGTATTGTTGAAAACTCTGGAATAGTACAAATGAAAAGAACTGATTTTATTTATTAAATGCAGTGTCAACAGCCGTTTCTAAAAGGAGACAAAGTAAATTTACCTTCATGGACTGTAATGCCACAGTTGTCACACTGAATTATTTCATCAGCATCTTCACTATTATCCCCAAGACAAACACAGCAAATCAGGATATGGTCCATTTTTTGAGAACTCCAGTTTTGGCCCTTCTCAAGAATCAGCGAGTCCTAATATTAAAATACATCAGAAAACCATATATTTAAAAGGTAATTGTAATAAATAAAATTCTTACTTTATTTTATGCATTTCCAAAATTATGCCAGAAGAATTTTCCATTGTTTTAGTAATTTCAAAGTATGCTACATTTGAGAAGTACATCTCTTTGTCAAAGGACACTTTAAGTACCCACTCTCTTTTTACTTTCTCTCCAAGTCCCTTCAGGAAATGAGAATGAAAGCATGCAAACTAACAATTCTTCATCTGCTTTGCCATTCTGGATTATGGTCTGATCCCTTGGGAGAAAGGAAAAAATTAACTCACAAATAATTATTAATCCTATGTATGGGTTTAAAAAGTATAAGACATAGTTTCTACACTTTGGAAGCTTATAATTCTATATAGGGTAGACAAGACACACATATATTAAACAGGAAAAAAAATCAATTCAAGATAACATATAATGCAAATATGTATGTAATGGCACAGTTACGGATTATACTCCTTAAGTGCTAGGCAATTCAGAGGTTCCAGGATCATCAAAACATTGAATGACAGATCCACAAGAGTCTGCATAGGTGTATCTGTGTATACAAGGTACAGATAACCATCTGAAAAAGGATCCAGGCTGTCTAGTTGCTAGAAGAATCAGAGTACACTATTAGGTTTGTGTCAAGAAATATCTAATGTAAACTGGTAATAAAGATACCTAATTATAATAAGAAAAAAGGAAGATGTATTAATGGATAAATATAAAAAGACAAAATTTTAAGAAAGGGAAAGTTTGCTGCTTTTAATTTAAACCTTGTACATTATGGACTTCAACTTTAAATGCTAAATTAACAATGATTTACAGATTATACTTATTTTAGCATTACATGTAATGAAAGATGGCACTTTAGGCTAGATATTTTCATTTAATAATATAACCATATTCAGAAGCAAAATTAATAGGTTAGCTCCATATCACATTCACTAAATATACTGTTTCATAGTTATGTTTTTATATTCTTTTAAACTGACCAATATCCAAAGGTAACATTTAGAGTCATCATTTCAATAGAGTTTGGAAATGACATTTGAATGACACTTGAATGTCACAATTAATAACATTCTTTAACATTCTTTCAATGCATGTTCTGTGTAATACGTATAAACTTGCAGATGATCTGTACGACAAATCAGAAAAGAATGCAAAAGTCAACAAGGAAGCATGTGTCATTTCTTGAGAATTCTAGCACTTTACAATTTTGCATTTTGCTCCTTTTTGTTATAAAACCAAAGTAGTTGACTGGGGGTTTTGTACGAGTAGCAAATAAAGGTAGAAACTTCCAGAAAAAAAAAAAATTCGTGTTTAGTGATACTTTGTTTATGAGCAAAACAATCTGCCCAATCTTTCATCCTATTAACCATGCTTCAAATTTAACAGCATTTGACTTAAAGTCAAATGTCCTTGGGTTTCATTTTCAGCTCTCACTTTATAGCTGTTGAATCTCAAAACTGCCGTTTTCTTATCTGTAAATGGGATGACAAAAATAATAACCTCATGCGGTTATTGTATTAACAAGAGAGTGGGTGGCAGGAATGTTCCTGAGACATACTAGATACTCAATATAAATGTCCATTGCCATTCTCCTTTCCTACTTCTTGTAGGTGGTTCAAGAGAAACATGAGCTGACCATTTTTTATACTGGAAAATCTCCTTTGAGACCCGGCAAAAAGTTATAAGCTTCAATAAGCACTGCTACTTTAAATATTTTCCCCTGGTAAATCCCAAAATGACTTTCTTCTTAGAATACTATATCAAGGTTAAAAAAATCACAGACCTAGTGAACAACTAGAGTTTGATGTTTGAGAGGCTGCTCCTGTTTATGGGCTCTGCCAGTATTTCTCTACTGGAATTCAGCCCTCGAAAAAAGGTTTATCCATGTGGGAAACAAGTAAATTTCTATAGATCAGAAAAACTAGCACTAATAGGTAGCTTTAATTCCATTATATCCCTATTTTTCCATTTTGTTCAGGAAAAAAAGTAAATGTTTAAATTACATTATCTATAACCATTTCTTTCTTACACATATTTAGAAGTAAACAAAATTAACCAGTATTTCTGGCCCTTTCATCCCCATCACTTGAGACTCTAACTAGAAATGTAATGCAAACAGAAAGAAATGGGAAGAACTAGATCCCTAAATACTACCCAATCAAAGGCTGGGAAATTCAATGGGAAAATCTAAATAACTCATGCTCCTAAAAAAATTATGTTTTAAGTTGTCTTTAATAAATCAAACGGGTTTAAACACACTTATGATCAGGATATAAATGCCAATTTAGTATCAATTTTTATTAGCATATTTCTGAAAATTATGTCATTTTTCAGATTTCTGGAGGAAATATTTAAGCTGAAGTTTTTACCACAAAAATGTATCATTTGAAAATGATGATTTTTACATAAAAATCAGGAAAGTGGGTTTTGAATGGCACAAGCATATTACCTAGAATATAACTGTAATATTAAGGAACAATTCAATGGAATGTAATGGTAACTATAAGAATAAATGAGGCACTACAGTAATAAATCAATGACTATTTAAATCACTTCATTTTTTTCCCTTGGGACTTAAAATTTGTACCTAAAATGATAATATTGCTCAGTGCTCTCCACGGACTTTAAAATATGTTTAGTGTTCATTTATATATGTATTCCACATAGATGATAATAAATACTACATATAATAAAGTAAATTCTAAGTTGTTTAATAGAAGGAAATTCCATCACACTTCATGTAAAACCAGAATTAAAAGAATCTTATTGCCTTAAAGATGTATGCCAAGAATTCCAAGCAATAGTTCTTCCTCTATGTTATTAAAGGTTAAATTCTGAAGAAATTCAAGTAATTTTTGTACAATGTTACAAATTGATTTTTTTAGGCCTTAGAGGAATTTCTTTATTTTGAAATGTGTTTAAAAGTAACTGATTACTAAGTCAGAAGTCCCAAACAGAAGTAGCTATTTGTAAGTTTTGGCAAAATTTTTACATTTTAATTAGCAAAAATCAAATGACAATTGCCATTTCTTTCACATGGCAAGAAATTTAATCCATTTAAACGTAACAGAGCCTTTGATTTTATAAACCAGAAAACTTCACCTGAACATTTCTACTGATAATGATTTTCTGTCATATACAAATTCTCATCCAAAGCCTAGTTACAAAGTTCTAGGAACCATTTTCTGAAACTACTGCACAGTCCACCCCAAAAAATTTACTTCAGAAACCTAAAAGGCAAGATCAATGAATCTCAAGAGTGTCAAGACAAAAGCTTGAAAAAGACATATAACCATATTCCAAGGGGACTGTTCAGACCACACTAAATTCAAAAAATGCCACTAATGCCATTGATAAAGACAAGTGCCCATATGCAGAAAATGCAGGTTATTAAATGTGCAATTTTAGAACAGTAGTCCTCAAGGGGAATTCTCTTTCAAGTGGTCTATCAGGTAAAGTCTATTTGCATAATTATACCTACACGTTATTTGCCTTTTTCACTGTTGCTCGCCAACTGATATACAGTGAAGTTTTCCAGAGGCTACAGCCTTATTGATCTGATAACTTGTGTGCCTCTATATGTCTTATTTTTTGAAATTTATGAGTTTTAATTTGAAATGGCAAATATCAAAAGACATAACCTACAAAAACAGTAATTAGGGTCCCCAATATTTTTTTTAGTGTAAAGCGGTCCTGACACCAAAATGTTTTGCAAACCACTGTTCTAGAGTATTTCAAGGCCTACAGCATAAGCATATTAAGGCCATTACAAGTCAACAGTTACAAAAGGCTGACTTTAAAAAATACCAAATTCCCCTAAGAAACTTCCAAACTGTGAAAGTTTCTGGGCATCATGTAAATGATGCTCAACATAATTTATCTATAAAAACACCTCAAATAGCAGCCAAGACAAGTTTATTTGCTTATAAATTAAATATAATTCTATTATGTAATTCTAATGCCACATTTTCAACTATATCTATTACAAAGTAGTATTTGAAAACTTAAAGTAAGAGCAGAGAAAAATAAAACTCAAGTATAATCAGATATAAGGTATTAACTAATGGACACTAAGCAAGTTATCACTACCTAAAATAACCAAGATTAAGATTCAAACATTGGTCATAAAACAAGGATTACTTTTAATCATCTTTTTACAAAATCAAAATCATATAAACAGGAAATTTAGAAATGTAAGAAAATAATCTCACCTGATTAGTTTTCATTAAAATTTAATATCTAGCTTGAGTGATGTTTAAAAAATAACTAGAATCATCAAAAACTACTGAAGAATCTGAACAACAGTCTTGGTGGTCAAGCTATCAAGCTTTCAAGTAGAACATAACTGAGGGAAAATCAACTTTCTATAAGCTTTTCTAGAGCTAATGGAAAATTCACAGAAATTAACACAAGAGGAATTAATTTAGCTAATATAAGAAGAAACTTCTTGACATCTTTATCAAGGCATGTTTCCAAGAAATGCTATGGAATCTCATTCCTTGGAAATGATTACCTAAACATATAAAGTACCATTATTTACCAAGGGCTTTTCTGGTAAGAAAAAAACTAAACAGCATATAAGGCTTTTAAATGCATCAAAAAGGATAATCAACAACCTCTTAAGCAATATATATTGTATAATACAATATATGATATATATATAATACAGGATATAATTCATATATATATATATAATATATATTACAGATTAACAAATGGATAATGTATACATCTTATGTGGAAAATCTCTAAAAATACGCAGGTATTCCCCACACCTTAGCATAAATCTAACTCTGCCTCTATCCTAGCCAGCCTACTTCTGTGAACGTCAGGCTCATAAAAATAAAAACAGTGATGAAGCCAAGAAACTTATTCAATAGACACAGACTGAGTACTAAGTGCTATAAATAAACTGTATATATATGCCAAATCAAATATGAAGGACTGAATACTCCATTCTTCTATTTCCCTAAATTGGCACTGGGAAAATAAAACTCCCCATGCAACATCATCATTATAAATACTGTATTATATTTCAAATGACACTTGTCATTTACCTAAATATAAGAATTAAGATATTACTAGAGATAGGCAACATCCTTCATATGAAAGTGGGCAACCAGAAATTAACCAATGTTTATAATCTAATATAACTGCTGTTTCATCTCTACCAACAAACAATCCCACCATAGGCTGCTAAATACTATTTTGGAAAGAAAATCACCAAATGTTTTAAGGAAAGATACTTAAAATAGATAATCACTGCTATGTAAAACTTATAAGCAGAAGAAATATAAAAGAACAAATAATGCACAAAAGAAAAATCTCCCAGTTTAACCTACTTGTGATATGAAAAAACAAAAATAAGTGCTTGGTAAAGAAGTCAATTTTTATGACTATAAACACATTAACAGAAATGACGAACTTAATTATTATAGTTCTACATGTGATGTAAGAGTACATCTACATGTAAGACAACAACTCAATCTTTCTTTTGAAGAAGAACATATACATAAACACACAGACAAAGAGACACAAATGTGTTTAACTGAAGAGTCTTGAATGTTTCATCTTGGGCCCAATGGATAAACCTAACTTTCGGTAGTAGAACTTCAAGTAGAAGAACTGAGTCATTACTGTGGTTTTATGATAGAAATATTTGTCTTATGACAGAAATGTTTGCTTTTTTTTTCCACTTCTTTGTAGCGAGAACTTATTCACCATATTCACGAACATACAGTTTGTATTTATTCTCAGACATCTAAACCTAAGATTTGGTGACTATTCAAAGATAATGGGTGCTACAACCGGTAAAGGAATTGACTTTTAAGATGAATTTCTAAATGTCTGAGATAATTATTAAGCTGCCTGCTCTAAAGGCAATCTAAAAGTCTAAATTTGTATGTAGTTGTGGACATAACTAAGTTGAAAAAAAGTGACCTTTGTTTTTATAATCCACTCACCATCATTCAGCAGTCCTATAACAGTAGAGTTAGAGGATAGAAAGGGGAAGGGAAAACTACCATTTCCCAAGTCTATAGATAGAAAAATATTTCTCTAAATATATAGACTGTGACCTCCTTGAGGATGGTGGTTGTGAGCTCCTTGAGAACGGTGACAAATAGGAGATACTCAAAAAAGGTTGACTGATCAAATGAATAAATGTTACATTTAGGGTGCTCATTCATTCCCATAGCTGTCTATAAATAGGATTTCAAGGAAGCCACTTAATATGAGCAGAATGGTTTAGAGAAGAATTCCCTTTTCCCCAGACAGACAGATATCATAAAAATTGGGTTGATCTACCTCATTACTCTTGCTTTGAGATAGTGTCAGGCTATCATTGGTCAGTTCTTCATCATCAGCACTGTTTCTGCTAAGAATTTTACTCTTCTTCTTCTTACAACCCCCTTCACTGGCAGGGCTGCTATGATCTTCTTCGTTGCCTTCATCATTCTCATCCTCATCACTCCCACTTCCCTCATCTTCATCATCTTCATTGTCTCCATCACTTCCTTCTTTCTGAGATGCAGATCTTCCCTTTCTCTTTACTACAGTAGGCCTCCAGTCATTGTCATCTTCACTGTCATAGTCATCCATATCATTCAACTCTTCCATGGATACGAAATCCAACAGTGGTCGGTTTCGACGAAGGTTCCACTTTTTTGGCTCACTGACTTGCTCCTCTGTAGTGGTTGTCGTAGTGGGGACTGAAAGAGATGTGTTAACAGCAGGAGGACTTGTGGCTGGTGTGGTGGAAGCAGTGCAAGGAATCACATTATCAGATACTGATGCTTTTTCTTTCTCCTTCTCTTTTTCCTTTTCTTTTTCTTTCTCCTTTTTCTTTCGAGGTCTTTCTCCATTCTCTTCTTCCTCCTTTTCCACTTTAATTAACTGTTTTTCTGATGACAGTATTTCTTCCTCTGCAGAACTTTTGAGTTGTTCTTCTTTTATTTTAACATCTTCATTCAGTTCTTCCTCTAAAATATTTTCTTCAGAATCACTACAGGAACCTTCTGCACTGTCCTTTGAGGGATCTTCACTTCCATTACCACTCCCTTCAGAATCTGTTGAAAATATGAGAAAAAAAAAACCACACATATGTATATACATACACACACACACACACAACGCTGACACAAATGAAACCACCAAAATTTGTGAATAACTTGCAAAACAATATAAACAAATTTAAGTCAAAGAATGATAGACATTCCCAACCTGATTAATAAATCAGTGAAGTTGGTATAATGATTTTAGAAGTTGGTATAATGGCTTTAGTTCAATATATAGCACTAATGAAGATGATATATGTAGCTCTAAATTAAAATATCCTTTAAAAAAAAGGAGCACCTGTTTTGTGTCATATAACTCATGCTATATTTGGTACACTGGAGGCAATTTTTTTCTAAAAGTAAATGTGCTTCTTTTTAAATTGGTCACTTGATTTTACCTTAATGATAGTATAACAGAGACCAAATTCTTCTACGGTGACAAATAGGAGATACTCAAAAAAGGTTGACTGATCAAATGAATAAATGTTACATTTAGGGTGCTCATTCATTCCCATAGCTGTCTATAAATAGGATTTCAAGGAAGCCACTTAATATGAGCAGAATGGTTTAGAGAAGAATTCCCTTTTCCCCAGACAGACAGATATCATAAAAATTGGGTTGATCTACCTCATTACTCTTGCTTTGAGATAGTGTCAGGCTATCATTGGTCAGTTCTTCATCATCAGCACTGTTTCTGCTAAGAATTTTACTCTTCTTCTTCTTACAACCCCCTTCACTGGCAGGGCTGCTATGATCTTCTTCGTTGCCTTCATCATTCTCATCCTCATCACTCCCACTTCCCTCATCTTCATCATCTTCATTGTCTCCATCACTTCCTTCTTTCTGAGATGCAGATCTTCCCTTTCTCTTTACTACAGTAGGCCTCCAGTCATTGTCATCTTCACTGTCATAGTCATCCATATCATTCAACTCTTCCATGGATACGAAATCCAACAGTGGTCGGTTTCGACGAAGGTTCCACTTTTTTGGCTCACTGACTTGCTCCTCTGTAGTGGTTGTCGTAGTGGGGACTGAAAGAGATGTGTTAACAGCAGGAGGACTTGTGGCTGGTGTGGTGGAAGCAGTGCAAGGAATCACATTATCAGATACTGATGCTTTTTCTTTCTCCTTCTCTTTTTCCTTTTCTTTTTCTTTCTCCTTTTTCTTTCGAGGTCTTTCTCCATTCTCTTCTTCCTCCTTTTCCACTTTAATTAACTGTTTTTCTGATGACAGTATTTCTTCCTCTGCAGAACTTTTGAGTTGTTCTTCTTTTATTTTAACATCTTCATTCAGTTCTTCCTCTAAAATATTTTCTTCAGAATCACTACAGGAACCTTCTGCACTGTCCTTTGAGGGATCTTCACTTCCATTACCACTCCCTTCAGAATCTGTTGAAAATATGAGAAAAAAAAAACCACACATATGTATATACATACACACACACACACACAACGCTGACACAAATGAAACCACCAAAATTTGTGAATAACTTGCAAAACAATATAAACAAATTTAAGTCAAAGAATGATAGACATTCCCAACCTGATTAATAAATCAGTGAAGTTGGTATAATGATTTTAGAAGTTGGTATAATGGCTTTAGTTCAATATATAGCACTAATGAAGATGATATATGTAGCTCTAAATTAAAATATCCTTTAAAAAAAAGGAGCACCTGTTTTGTGTCATATAACTCATGCTATATTTGGTACACTGGAGGCAATTTTTTTCTAAAAGTAAATGTGCTTCTTTTTAAATTGGTCACTTGATTTTACCTTAATGATAGTATAACAGAGACCAAATTCTTCTTCCTTTCCACCTCCCTTTTATAAACTGTATGGACTAACAAGTATTGAGTTACATTCAGAACAAGAAAAATCTGACCCCAAAAACTTCATTTCATTTGTTTTACTCTTTATCTAGCAAAAATGAGCACAGATATTTATGACAATCAACTTGCACCACATCCCTAATATGGCAATCAATTTTAGGAGCACCAAATAGACAGGTGAAAACAAATAATAGCAATGGCACAGAAAATGGAAGTTGCAAGGAAGTTACCAATTCTGCTTATTAGGATGCTGTTCATATCCATGAGAGTCACCTTAACTTTCAAAAATTCTAGGATGTAACTACTATATTCCCTAGACTGAAAGAAATTAATGAATTTTTTTTAATTCATCTTAAAAAGAACAATCACAGAAGTTGCTAAAAATGTAGGCTGACGACACTGAAGAGTTCATGCAGGACTGTAAGTTTTCTAGCAAGTTTCTTCCATTCCTTCCTACCTAGGGCAATCCAGGCCCTCAGCCCAACACTATTCAGTAACCTTTTTAACACCTAATAAAATAAATAAAAACCTAAAATATTTGGGGAGGAGAAAAAAGGAAGGGAAGCAGGAGGGAAGTGAAAAACAACCCGTCATAGTCATATTGTGGCCAACACCAATGATAAATCTGTAGGGTGATGAATTTTTATACCTATAACCAAGAAAAGGGTAGTAAAATAGTGAAAAAAGTCCATGTTTCCACACAATTTTAATTTTTGTTAACTCTAGCAGCCTTAGCCTTTATAATAATTAGGCATTAAAAGCAAATAAATTTGTCTGTAATTAGTATCTGGTATCTAAAATATCTCAGAAATCCTTTACAGATGGCTGATTAAAAAGAAAAAAGACTAGTACTTAGCTGATGTTGACTGACCCTATAAAATCATTGTCAATCTCAAGATTATCATGCAGGTACCCACAGCTTATTCAGACTCTTGTGAAAAAACACTCTCATCCTAAATAACCTTGCCTAGAACATAAAGCAATACCATCTAAGTCAACAATCCCTTATCTGAAACTTTTGAAGCCAGATGTATTTCAGAATGTAATTTTTTTTTCTTCAAATTTTAGAAAAATAGCATGATATATGCACAATATATGACACTAAAACGCCCAGTGAGGTCTATGGTACTACCTATAATCAAATAAATTATTTCTGCAGTATAAAGTATGAATATTTATGAGTATGATAAATAAATGCTACAAATAAATTCCTCTGCATTCCAGTCAGCTTTTACCATCAACTAAGTTTGTATCAAATTTAGGGAACACCTTTGGATTTGTGAGCTTCTTGGATCTCAAAAACAGTGTGGACCCAATATCACTCACAAATAGTAATTTCTTTCAGTTCAACAGCTCCTCAAATCATTAAGACAATTACAATTTTCATAGCACTCACACCAATTAATCTAACCTACCAGGAAAAACTACTTTGGTAAAAAAATAATGACCTCTAGATATTTTTAAAGATCCAGTAAATAACAAGCAGAGTTGATTAAACACTTCTAAGGCAAACAGGATCTCTGTGTAAACTGACTAAAGAAAACTAGAACAGTTTGCAAGCGATGCCCTAAACAAGAGAGCTGGTATATGGAGAAAAAGTACTTTTCTTCTGGACCAATCTTCTGGAAGCCTTTTTATACATATAAGTACTCCTAATCTTTTTTACGAATAAAAAACAATAGTAGATAAAAAAAAGTAAGATTAACTGAGGCACAAAAGTCAGTACCTTCTTAAGACTGAGACCAATCCAACTTTACTATCACTTGGTAAATTTTACAATGTCAACAATTTTTGCAATTTTGTTTTGGTTGTGTTGCCAATGCCAACCAATTATTTTTGAAAGTACAGGGACACTGATACCCTTTGATTCTGTTTTTGTTTTATAATTGTGCATGCATAGAAATCAGTTAAAAATTCTAAACGCTTGACATTTATTAATATATTATTAAAAGCATCTGAGATGTTTTCACAAATCTAAATCCCAGAATCTTACCCAACCCTTCATTCTCCAAATATAACAGATTAACTGTAACTCCAACTATAGGCATCAGGAATACATCAAAATTTATCTTTCTTTGATCTCTGAAAAATAACCTTCATCTCATTAATCATCTTCTTTTTGATACATACGCACTTAAAGGATGGAGACGAACAATGTTTGGTTATGAGCACTGCGAGGTAATAGTGACAACAGAAAATCATAGTCCTTGGCTATCTATAACTATATTTTTGTAGGCTTCAAAAAAAATTACTACATATTCAAACAATGACTCTGCCATGTTCCAAATCCATCACTCTTAACATCCTTAAAATAAAATACTAGTAATAGTACACTAGAGAAATAAGATAGATACCTCAAATACAGCTATCCTAGGCATAAGAACAGAGTTTCTAAGTATACAAAATTTTTTACATAAGAAAAAAATCTTTAAAATTTACATCCCTACTTCTTGTTCAGTTAAATAAAAGGCAACCTTTCTCAAATACACAATGCAATGTAACAAAATCTCTCTAAGCAATAGCTATTTCAACTCAGTTAAGGAATCTTAAAGTTATAGATTTAAAAAAACAATCTTCAAGAACCTCTTCACTATATTTAATGCTTTAAGTTTTCCCATGATAAATAAATAATAAAATCAATGATTTAATTCAGAATTTTATGTTAGCTTTGCAATATTATCATATCTGTTCATCAACCTTAATTCCTTAACTATCTGTTCACTGACCTAGTACAACGATTAGTAGTAGAAATATACACAAAAAATAACAGATCATCAGTCTACTGGTTATTGTTATATCTTGGGGCCATTTCTGACTAATCCTGTGTATGTCCTTTTAAAAAGCCCATCATCAGTCAACAATTCACCCTCTACTTCTGACATGAGTTCCAGCTATGTTATTTTATATTTTCTGACTAAATCTAGACCAGCAGGTTCTCAAATGGGGACAGTGCTGTCCCACAGAGGACATCTGGCAATGTCTACAGGCAATGGTTGCCCTGAAAGGGCAGGTAATGGGGGTTAGGTAGGAAAGATGCTACTGACATTAAGTAGGTAGAAGACAGGGATGCTGCTAAACACCTTGCAATGCACAGTACAAAGAACTGTCCTCCATAACAAAGAATTGTCTGACAAAATGTCAACAGTGCCAATACTGAGAAACCCTGGTCTGGATGTAAAATGTTAATTTGACCTCACTCTACTTATCCAGGCTCATCTCTTCTATTATTCTCTTACTCAATCCTGCTCAAGTATAAATGACATTTTTCCAGCCTTCACACTTTTAATACTTAATGTATCCCACTTAGATTGCCTCTTTTTTAGTTCCTAGTTCAACTTATCTCCTCAGTGAACTGTACTGGATCACTCTAGTCTAAAGTAGTCCCATCTTTTCTGAAAGACTTGAACTGCACAAAATATCAGTCATGGCTTGTATCATCTATCTGTTTTTTTACTTATTTAATTATTCTAATATTATTACTATTTCTTTGTGAATTCACCATAACATCCAGCCAAGTGGCTTTAACCAAAACTACTGATGGTCCATGAACATAACTTGATTCACTTAGTCAGTCAGCTTAAGCACAAAATACGACCAAGGCAAAGTCTGAACTTGACTCTTCCAGTTAAATTATTTTCTGAAATTCGGCCTAACTAAACTAACTATGGCTTCAGATCTAAAGTGAACCATCTTACTTTGGCCAGGGGGTTGGAAGGACAGAGCACTGCTTTATTGTCTTGTTTAATAAAAGTAATATATGCACTCATTGTTAAAAACATTAAATTTATGTATCAGATTACTAAATGTGATCTATCCTTACCTTAAATGTCTCCTATTCTATCTCCAATCCTAGATCCCAGTCTCAAATACAACCACTTTAACTAGGCCAAATCATGAAATTGCCAATAATCAACTGTTTTAGACCTATTAAAACTGGTAATTTCATATGGTTCCATCTAACATTTCTACCTCTGGTTCTTCTGCTGGTATCACCATAATTGTAACATACTTATATACCACTTTGGACATACTAATTTTAAAATTTGAGATTTCCAATCAATTGAGAAATTTAACTCTACTTTCTCATTAAAGATAAAGTAAAAGATAATCTATTTTCAGTTCATAATTTTCTAAGGGTAGAGGCTTACAATTACTAACTATTGATAATCAGTTGTCAATTTTGTTGGCAGGTTAATTTTAAGCAATTTCAGAATTGTCTATAAATTTATTTTTAAAGCCAAACACACACATGAAATTTTATAGTCAGAATATCAGATTTCAAAATGAAGAAATTAATGCACAGAATCCAGTTAACAAAAATTGATGCCAACTAATCTAATCATTTTTACACTAAATCCTAAGGAAGTAAGTAGTTCATTCAATAAGTCATTTCCACAGACTGTTTTGAAAGAAGCTATGATTAGACAGATGTTTAGCTACTAATTCTTCACCTCCAGCTTAACCTCTGAGTCATTAGTAGGGTTGGGATTCCACAACTTCAACATATTTGAAAACCAGTGATAAGTCTTACTTCTTGTAAGAGTTCAACTCAGGCAGAGAAGAGAAAGGATTCAAACAGAAAACACTAGAGTAGGCCAACATCTCAACTATGGGGGACATCAACGTACCTTAATCAAGAATGGAAAATATATTTCACTTTCTACTATTAGCTACTTTTAAAAAACATTTTCTACTACACTCTCATTTTCAACAATATATCAAAAAGCACAAATTTGTGACCTTGGTTCACAAGGTCCAGCTCTCCAACAGGCCGGGTAAATAAATTACAAGTAAAGCAGACTAGGTATTGTGACAAGAGGAAATGGAAAGTATGTGTTTTTGAGTGCTTTTAGGTAATTAAAAAAAAAAATTGTTAACCTAACAAAACTCATTCTACCACTTCTCATACATAACAGGTAATTCCCACCAACTACAATTAAGATTTAACAAGGTCAGGAATATGTACTTACCTTGATATTAAAAATTATTTTGAGAAAGTAGATTGTATCATTAGATGGTTTTGACCTTATAAATAGAAGTTATATCTGTGAATGACTCCATTGCAATAAACAAAAAGAAAAAAAGCTTTTCACAAAGTCAGGATTTGTCACAGAAATACTGATGGAATACTTAGAGAAACTGAGCTTTGGATGTTTTCCCATAATGCTATTCAAAAAAAAAAAGTCATAGCTTCTGAGAACTGACTACTTTTGTCATAGTTTATCATTTCAATCATAACAAACCAAAACTACATTCTAGCTAAAAATATTATTAAATGCCAAGATTTTCACCAAGAGCACTAAAATAGGTTTGTATTTTACCTTCCTTCCCTTCTTTGGAAATACCAAACATCAGTGAATTAACTAAATGATAGATCAAAGACCTGAGAAGCAAAGGTTAAAAAACAATTAATGAAGATACATTTAACAACTTTTGATTGCTGGGAGTGACCTCAATTAGTCATCACAACATTCAAGTAGTTTTAGTTTAAGATTACATTTACTTTTAGGATCTTCGTGTTAAGATTGTAAATTTTGGAGTCAAAAGATGTGGATTTGATTCATTATGGTCCAAGTGACCTCATGTAAATTCTTTAAACTCCGTTGTTCTGTTATCTGTAAAATAACGCCTTCGCTGAATTACTGGAAAAATTTAATGAGATTATGGAAACAAAAAGTTCTCAGTAAATAGCAATGCAAATTCTACTCCTTGATGCTGGTAGAAGAAAAACAGTTAACACAATACAACCTAATTTCATCTACCATCCCTAGCAGGAAAAAAGAAAATCCAGAGGAAAGGAGATATGACTACGCATAAAAAATTATCTGGAAAAATATTTGAAAACCGTTGAAGGGATGAAATTGAAAGAGTTTTAGTTTCTTACTTAAATTTCCATGAAAAGGAGCAGTATTTTAACTAAATTTTATTCATGTGTGCATTACTATTTTTCACATAAAATACTTAAACATAATTTGTATGCATTTCTCAGATTCCTACAATTAAAAAGTAAAATAAATCTATACAAATGAGATACAATGAACAACAAAGGAAAACCATGCCTTTTTTCTGTTTTTCAATTTTTTACAATGTGAAATACATGCCCTTTTAAAAGAGATGTTTTTAAAATCACAAAGTGTAGTGAGTAAACATGCATACTTTATACCTCAGAGATTTTTTAAATGCCCGGACACCAAGGTCCAACACCTACCACAATGTACAACTTTTTACTCTGGTCAACTTTATTCTGCTAAGGGAGCTTACAGACAAAATGCAAAACTCCCCTCAGAGGGTGCCAAGTGATCTGAAAAAAGAACCTTGCTCACGGGCTGTTCACAGCTCACATTACTCAGGATATTATTCTACTACAGGATATCTCTCAGATTTTTACCCCCTCTATCCATAAAATAAGCAGAAATGTATTTTAAAGTGAAGAACACAGAAAATTCTTTTGCATCTTTGAAATATGTCCTTTGTTGCCTGCTAATTATCTGAGTATCAATAAAAACAGCAATGATAGCATCTAGTGATAGGATATTAGGGAAATGTGGGAAATCAAATGGACAACATAAATGACGTTTATGTGCTTTATATTGTCATTTTAATCAAAACTGTGTCTTTAAAAAGTCAGAAAATAAGCCCAACTCCAGAAAGCTGGGAAGGGGAAGAAAGAAGGAAACATTTACCTGAGGCATCTCCAACTTTAAAATCACTGTCATCTGAACTATCATAATCGAGAGCTTCTAGCAGAGAAGCTGCCAAAGGCTTCACCTGCCTCCTCTTGGAGCTGCGATCCACTGTGAAGAGAAAAACAGTACACTGTTACCCATCATCACACCAAGCACAGGTGAGAGCTATGATGCTGAGGTACAGCTGACCTCGTGCAGGGAATCTTTGTTCAGTTCTCAGCAAAAGGTGTGTGGAAGGTTGGGGTGGCAACGCGAACTTGGGAAGGGCCGGGAAGCCACATGGGCAGCTCCAGCCCCGGGTGAGCAAAGCTGAACCCAGGCCGGCCAAAATCGAAGCTGACCGACCCTCTCTGCACATCCCTGTGATGTTTCTGCGACTCGTTCGTAATCCCTCACTTAGACACTGTAACAGTTAATAGAAAACGCAAAGCCCAGGGAATAAATGAAACCGTGTTCATTCCCGCGGACCGTCGAGGGGGACCCTCCCAACCCCGCCTGGCCCCTCCAGGCCCTGACTTCTACCAGGGCTGAAATGAACCTTTCTCCCCGCGGAGGCCCCCACACTTACTAAAGAATCCGTGAGGTGATCGTTTGAAGGAGACCTAAGGAGAAGCTGCGGGAGACCAGGCAGCGCCGTGGTTAGGACTGAGACCGCCGAACAAATCCGAAAGATGCTATTTAAAATCTGCGGCGCCCCCGGGAGCTGCCCCGAGGTTCCTCCCTCTCACCTACCCAGGTCCTCCCGGAACGGGCCCCAGCCGCCCGCGCCCCTGCCCGCAGCGCTCCCCGGCCAGAGGCGCCCTCTCCCCAGGCAGCGGGGCCAGCCCGGCAGCCCTTGGGAGTTAATTTCTCCCGTTAAAACTGTTAAGCAAAAAAATAAAATAAAGAAAAACTTTATTAGCCTGCACCAGAAGCAACAAAAGACCCAGAATTTGCACAGTCCGAGGTCGGTTGCCTGAGACAATAGGGAAAGCAACGACCCGGATACAGCTCTAAAGTGAAGGAAGTGAAAACACAAGGCAAGAGTACGGCCTCAGGAGCAGCAGGAGCCGACGGCGCGTGCGCCGGATTTGCTGGGGCTCTCCGTTCGAGGGGAGGAGCCGAGAGGGGGCCGGGCGAAACAGAGCCGTGAAGAACTGGAGAGCTCTCCCACACCTCGCGCAGCTCCGCCCACAAGTCCCTGAAGCTCCGTCCTGAGTTCCAATCAGTGGGGCGCTAAGGCTTGTTACTAGTGTTCTTAAAGGATTTGCTTGGAATACACTTTACACAAAGGTACTTGCTAACTTATTACCAAAAAACATAATACTGACAAGTCATACTCTACCTGGGGCTTCCATAAATTGCATCTCTCAAAATATCTTGGAACGTGTGAAAATTTTATTTCTTCGATGGGAGTAATGTCAGAATCGCATTAGACCTTGTTTGATTGCAGCTTTGAAAATTATAACTCTAATAGAGAAAAAAGCATTCATTAATAATATTAATTACTGTTAAAATTAGTTACTGTGGACAGACATTTCCTTATAAATTAAACAGTGATAAGTCTTACTTCTTGTAAGAGTTCATTCAGTATTAAATTTTGCTGAGAGAGAATACATCTAGGGAAAAATACTCCTCACAAGTACGTTGTGTATTACCTCATGTTATGTGTCCAAATGAATGTGAACAACTAATGCCTTGCACTCACTTGGGGAATTTTTCAAGATGAATTTTTAAACCCATAAAAATATGAGGACAGTATGTGTGCCTGGGCATGGTAGTCCTTTAACAGTTTCAGACTCCACATTTATTCACATACAGGTTAGCTATTTTTTAAACGACATTAAAATGTTGGAATTGGAGCAGTATTAATGTTTTTAAAAATGTTTATCCAGGATAAAGAGACTTGAATGAAGCTGATTCAATTCATTAATTTATTCCACAAATAAACATTGAGCGCAAATGTTTATAGCATGAGGGAATAACGTTATGAAAGACTAAATATGTAGGAATCAAATCATACAGCAGTGGAGCTTATTTTTTAAAGAAGCATGTTCAATTCTTCTGTAAACTGGAATTAAATTTTATAACATTAAATTTGAAAAAAAAAGTAAATATATAGTACGATTTATGGGACAACTACATGGAGGCTGGTTCTCCTTCAAGACAACTGTCACCTTTTCCCTTCCAGGGCTTAAGGTACAGTTGAGATACAAACAAGTCAACAAGCAACTGCTGTATATTGTGTTAGCAAATTTTTGTCCCAGCTTCCTGTCTTATAAAACCTTCCATTCTGTACAATTCCTCAGAGTATTTCTCTGCTTGAAAGATGGGATATGCTGCCCAATTCAAGAATTGCTTAATAAAACCAATCAGAATCTTCAAATTTACTTGGTTTAATTTTGGTTTTTTACAACATAAAATGAATGAATTGGTCTAGGGAAGGGAGAAAAGGAGACAGAGGTGTTCCAGGCTAAGGAAATGACATGTGCAAATGCCCAGGGTTAGGAGAGCATGACTAGTCAGATTCCCCAAAAGCTGGACCATCTTTAATACCCCTGGTACATTTCACCATAACATTAGTTGTAGCCAATTTCATTGCAACCTCATCTGTTTTCCTCATCACTACTAAAAAAGTAAACTCCAATCTCTCTGAACCTCTAGTTCCCTGACCTAATCTACTGCTGTTATGTGCCCTCTCACGTTTCCATTGTGCTGTAGAAACTTCCATTCCAAAAATTTAATTGCTTAATAAATGTCTTCGTTTTCAATGATGATTCTTGTACCTCCTTTTCTAAAATGCAAGGTTACCCAGAAGCCCTTTCAAATGGACATCACTCATCCTCCTACCTCATTTTCTCAAAATGTAGAGATGGCATCCATTTCTTTCACCACTGGCTTTCATACCTATTATTTCTCCAGTCAAAATCCTAGCAACTTCATTATTTAACCAGCTCCATTCTGGGAACTTCATTTCCATTCTATTTAAAACATCAGCCATACAATGGATTGTTTTACCTCTCCTATTATAAAACCAAACATTACAGTCCTTGACAACTTTCTACAGTCATTGGAAGAAATTATGCTGAGTTATCTAAGAGGGAAAAGAGAGTCCAAAAACTAGCATTCAAATTTCTGTAAAAGAAATTCCTAGATTTTATGAATAAAAATACATGGACACATTTATATTTAATAAATAATGCCTACTTACTGTCTAAAAATAGGCTGTACTAATATATATTACCACCAAGACTACATGAGAATTCTTTCTAATTTTCCAAACACTTGGTCATAAAGTATTAGAAATCATTTTTCAAAACTTCTAATTTTTAAGTAATTTTAGATTTATAGACAAGTATGACAGTAATTCTGAATTCCTATTTACCCTTCACCCAGCTTCTACCTATGTGAACATTTTGCATAACCATGGTACCTTTAAAAAACTAAGAAATTAACTTAGTACAATATTATTAACCAAATAGCAAATTTTATTTGGATTTCACTGGTGTTCTCAGTAATGCTTTTTCTGTCCCAAGATCCAACCCATGGGACCATATTGCATTTAGATTAGCAATCTTTCAACCTGTGGAATCCATGTGTTAAAAAGAAAAAAAAAACACAAAAAGAAGGTATGAAGAAAAGAGACAAAGAGGACAAATATAAAATTAAAAAATAGCTAATTGCTTTTTTGATTTGCATTTAATAAAGGTGGAAAAAGATTGCTGGTTGTCTCCCAATACCTATTATCCCTTTCTTCATAAATAAAAGCCCCCAATATTAAATAGGCACAGACTTTGCAAAAAGCAACTACATTTCCTGACTTTCTTGAGGTTATGTGTGGTTATGTAATTAAGTTCTGGCTAATGGAATATTAGCAGAAAAGGTATGTGCAACTTCCAGGCAATGATATTAAATTAATTTTTTCCTTCCTTTTCTAGATGACTTTTATTTCTTTTTCTTGCCTAATTGCCTTCCTAGAACATTCAGGATACTGTTGAATAAAAGTGGTGAGAGTGGATTTCCTTGTCTTGTCCCTGATCTTAGGAGGAAAGCTTTCAGTCTTTCACTATTTAGTCTGATGTTAGTTATATGTTTTCACAGTTGCCCTTTATCAGGGGTAGAAATGCACTGTTTCTAATTGATTGTTATTATTATGAAGTTTTGAATTTATTAAATGCTTTCTATTAAGATGCTCATCTACTGATCAATATGGTATAATACATTGTTGACTTAAATATGTTGAACTAACCTTGCATTATTGTTATAAATTCCACTTAGTCATGGTGTGTATGTTACTGGATTCAGTTTTGCTAGTATTTTGTTGAGTATTTTTGCATCTATGTTCATAAGGGACATTGCATTGCCATGATTTTTACATTATATAAGGAATCTTTATTAAGAATTGCTAAAATAGCATCTCCTATAATATTTTTCTGTAGAACTTGAAGGCACATATCATTAATTACTGTTGGCATTCTTAGAAAATTTTTAATCTCCTAATGATCTGCCATCATCTGGTTAAATATTTTCGTTATATAATCCATCATGTTTCTCTTTTCATTGTACATTCAAATTCAAGGTATTCATGCATTGCCACACATACTATAAGAATGATTATTTCCTAATAGCTGCAACCACAAACAGCCTTAATGTAATATTTTGCCAAAGAATACTCTTAACATTCATAATTATCTTCAACTAAGCAAGCTGAACATGACTGTGCAAGGATCATCAACAATGAAGATGAAAAGCTGATACATATTTAGAAATATCCTTCACACTACTTCCATGAAATGTAGTAAAGTAAGTAGCATATTGTTGCTGTGGACACTTGCTATAGGACACAGAAACAAACAGATAAATAAAAGCAAACATAGAAAGGGGAGACCTGAATTTGAGTCCAAACTTTGCCACTGAATTTCTGTTACCTTTAAAAAGTCAACTTGAACTCTTGGAAATTCTGACTCTTCATTTAGAATATGGAAATGATAATAATAACCTGTCTAGTTAAATGAAACATTTTGAGGAACAAATGACAAAGTACCCTAGCTCCAAAATTACTCCAGGAAGATGAAAAAAAAATCCAAGAAATAGGATGGGCATGCAATGCAAACAATGATATAAAAAGAAAAGGAAAATAAAAGTCTATAATTAAATGTGAATTATACTGATAATGAAATTGTGGAATTTAATGCAATTATTAATCAGAAATAAGTAAACTAGAGGAGTCATAAATTTTAAATGTTTATAACCAAATCCAAGAGAGTTGGAGATAAAGAAATGAGGGTACTTGGGAAAAGTAAAATAAGAAAAATGAAGACAAAAATTGAATTGTCTTATACAATTTTAGGAGAGTCTGTAGATCCTGATTAATTTTTAAACAGCCAGGAAAGTACAAATCAGCAGTAAAACAAGCTCCACTATGTATGAAAATGGAATCTACATTCTGGCATCTACTTACCTGCTTCAAAGCCAGGATCATATCGTGGTGGAGGAGCAGTTCTAGGAAAGATTGGTAGCAGTAACTGCACCCAGGTTTTTACTTGTACATCACAGTTACAGATGTATGATCCGGAAACTGAAAGTCTCATTGGATCCCTGACTTTCATTTCTTCAGCCTTTCAAGTGACTTTGTATGTACCAAATTTCTTCTCAGCATAAAATACCTAGAGTGATTTATCTTTCCTCTACTAAAATCTTATCTGATACAGTGTTTGATATAGAAAGGTGTTTAGAAAATAAATAGAACCTCAACAGTGGGAATTGAAGATTTATTATTTGACTTGGTATGAGTTAAAAGGCAGTGATGACTTCATCACCAATGGAAAATAATATACTGGTAGTCTAGGGATGTATGATAAAAGTTACTTACATTATCAAATGTGATTACTTGGAATGAGATACCTGTTGAAGGCAAGCCTTTGGTAACAAGTGTTTGTAATAATTGACATCAAATGTAGAAATAAGAACTATTGAGCTGGGTTGAAGTCAGTAGCTAGCCAAACAGATGTCACTATGGTCCCTTAAGGATATATCC